GGTGGCTGGACGCACGGCGGGGGCGGAGTGGAGAGGACAACGATTTGATTTACACAGACCTCACCTTCATCCGAATTTTCGAAAAGTATGTCGCTTTAAATGACATTGCCTCAAAAAAAAAAAAACAAAAAAAAAAACGTTGCTGATAAATAAAATAGTATTGACTTGACTAACCACGATACTCTGAAGTAATTATTGCTTCTAAACAACATTTTAAAATGATCAAACGAAAAATGCCCCTAACAGCAAAATTTGTTTGCCCAACTTGATGAAATTATGTATGAACCGGATTGCCAAACAACACCTTTGATTATATATACTACCAGTAGCAAACTAGTTAGTCGAATTTTTAACATCCCTTCGAAACTAAGCTTCTACGGCTTCTCCACTTAAGCTATGTCTTTGCTATTTTAAGCGAATCAACAGTCAGTATCGTGTCACATTTGTAATCACGTGACACAGCCTTCCATATGCACTTAGACCGTTAGAGCAGAGCGAGACAATGGGTTGGTCAAGTCACGTATTTAACGAATGTGACACAATTCACATCTGATCGAATTTGACGTCACAGTGTTAACAGAGCGAAAGGTTAGCCATGCGCGTTGAGTGCCGGGGACACGCCTGCCAGTCAAACGAACGTGCGCATTTTCCCTATTTTGTAATATCAAGTTAAGCCAAGCCGAACGCGCAAGCCCAAGCCCAAGCCGAAACTCAAGCCCGATGCGACGAATTTTTCGGGTTAAAGTAATGTTTTAAGTGTTTTCAGAGTTCATTTTTACGCGCATTGCCGCAGCTAGTGTGTATTTAAGTGCATTTGTGCTACTGGGGCAAGAGTTCTGTGTTACTGGCATTACTTTAATTCGAAAAATTCGTCGCATCGGGCTTGAGTTTCGGCTTGGGCTTGGGCTTACGCGTTCGGCTTGGCTTAACTTGATATAACATATGCCCACGGTTGGATGACGTAACTAGCTGAGTCCGTTTGTGAATTGGGAAGGAGAAAGGACAACAAATGGAGTTCTGGAGTGATACAACTCTTTGATTGAGACACGTTTAAAAAATATCATTCCATAACGGGTTTTTAATGTGATTCTTGTTCATTTTACTTCAGAACGCAGCACCTTCTCTCTTACTTGAATCAAAATATAATAATGACACAGTTAAAAATGTGTTCCATAACTTTTGTAGGATACTTATGCCTAAAACTCACTGGATGACTAAATCCATCAAAAGACTTTGAGCACAGAATATTCCGGAAAATTTGAAATTTCTAATAAGAGAAAAGGTTTTTTGGTGGATTTGGTCATGTCATAGCTCAAATTAATCTTCCTACCCCCTACACTTGAAAAATTATAAACAACGTTTCTTATATGGATCACTAATATTTTCATGTCTTTAGTCCATTAAACTTTCTGATTAAAAAAATAAAAAAAATAATGTGTACAATTAGCGGGTCGTTAGAAAGTACAGGACGTAAAAAATGTAGGTCGTATAGAAACCGAAGAAATCGCAGGTCAGACAGGCAGTTTTGGTTCTCTCCATAAACGGCAAACGCCCAGTTCGCAGATCCGAAGCGAAGCTCTGACAACGAAGGTTTTTCGGAATACCGCGCTTTAAGCCTCCAAGTTAGTCTTCGTTTTTAAATAGCCGCCCCCCAACCACCCCCTACCCCGCCGCAAGGAAAGAAATGCCCCAATTTTCAGCCGCCGCTGCTCCGCGCCGCACGGAGACTTACGCCGCGGGGCTCGCCGCCAGACCAGAACCAGATCTGACAACCGCGAGTCGCCTTTGATTTGTCGTCCGCTCAACTCTCGCTAACAGAACCGAACCGCGCGGGGAGCGCATCAGCGGGGCGAGGGGTGACATTACAATAAATCTGATTCGCGATGAAAAGTAACGCTCGGGGCGAGGAGTGGCGCCCCGCGGGCGGGCGGGGCGGGCTGGGCGAGCCCGAAACTATATACGAAAGAGGGGTGAGCAGAGAGAGAGAGAGAGAGAGAGAGAGAAAGAGTGGGAGAGGGAGAGAGATAGGGGTTTGTCTGGCGGCCTATGGATTGGGGCACGGGGCATCCCTTCCCCCAAAAGAGAGGTGGAATATTAGAAGAGAAAAAGTTGTCCAGAACGAGGAACGGGGGGAGGGGGGCGGACGGACGGGCAGGGACACAGTGGTCGGCGGCGGCGTCAGAAGTAGGCGGCTCCCCGCCGAGCCATCACCAGAGTGACCAAGTTTTTTTTATTATTCGTAGTCGTAATAAACTTGGAAAAATTCGGGTGACCTATCCAGCTGCTGAGATTGCGCCGGGCGGGGCCGGGCGGGTCGGTTAGTGTGAGATTGCAAATCAGACTCGCAATAAAATCAGTCTAGTGGCGCGGCAGCGAGGGTCGGCGAGGGTCGTGCTGGGAGTTTCGAAAATTCCGTCCACCCCCCTATACGGTACGAAGGCATTCTACGTGAAGCATAAATATGGTTGACGCCCTCACCTGGTGCGTCGCGCGCTTAGTGCACCCACGAGTGTCCCGAGGTCACTGAGGTGTAGGGCGACTGCGTGGAGGCGCCGTGCTGAGCGCCGGCCTGGGGCACGCTGGTCACCGCCTGCAAGAGGAAGCTCAGCGTGAGGAGCGGGCGAAGCGGGCGCCTGGTGGGCGGGCAGCCAGCGCCAGCCGCCGCACGCGCGCGGGGCACGGTGCCTATCCCACCGGGGGCCCTGGAGGGGCGCCTGCTCCGGGCAGGCAGCGGCAGCTAGGGCTGTGCGATATCCAGATTTTGAAATAGCGATACGATACGAAAGTCAAACATCGACTCGATACATCGAGTCTCGATAATGACAACGATATCGCAACATCGAACCAGTGTGAACCACATTCGAGCGATATAGAGAAACAATCTGTCTGAAAATGACCGGTATTTCGATATCGAGAGTATCGAAACCTCAATACCGCCGACGATATTGTCATTCTATCGTATTTATATCGCGATATAGCATAGCCCTAGTCGCAGCTAGCCGTGAGGGAGGCACGTTGATAGTGCTTACCTGCTGGAGCGGCATGTGTTGGGTGAAGTTAAAGTCCAGGTTGCCGTCGAAGCTCAGCTCGTTCTGGATCACCTCGTCCACGTTGCACTCGAAGCCGCCCTCGATGTTGAGGTTGAGGTCGTCGAGGAGGGAGGGGTTGAGGGCGCCCGCCATGAGCTGGCCCATCATGGTGGTGGGCGCGGACATGGCGTCCGTCAGCGAGCCGATGGGCGGCAGCTGGCCCTGGGGCTGGCCCTGGCCCGCGCGCGGGGACCTGCAGCCCGCCGAGTCGGCGCCGCCGGGGAGGCCGTCGCCGAGGTCGCCCAGGGCGTCGGGGGAGGGCGGCTGCGGCTGGTAGGGCGGCGGCGGCTGCTGTGGCTGGGGCGGCCGCTGCGGCTGGAAGGAGCTGTCGGGGGACGGCTCGGACCGCTGGTAGGTGGGCGACATGCCGGGCCCGCCGGGGGACACGCTCTGCAACAACAAGCCGGGCAGGGCGTCAGCCTGCGACCACGTGCGGGCCCTCCTCATAAGGGGCTGTTGTTGCGGCGCCCAGCCTCCGCAGCCGGTGGTGGCCAAGGTGGCGGCGCTCACCTCGGGGGCGCAGTGCAGCATGCAGGAGCAGCCCTGCAGCCGGTGGACGGGGCACGCGCCGGTGGAGAAGGAGAGGCTGCCGGAGGGGGCGCCGCCGCCCGCGCCGCTGCCGGCCGAGCCGGGGCTGGGGTACGACACGTCGAAGGCGGGCTGGTAGGGCGGCGGCGGCCCCGCGGGCTCCGACTGCTGCTGCGACTGCTGGGACCCCGACCCGCTGAAGCCCTGTATACCGAGACCGACATTTTCACTTACATGCGTTTGACACAATTCGCACCATTACATGGATTTTACATTGATTACACTGTTAAAACAAGTGTGCAATATTTGCACACCAACGTGTGCAAGTTGTGATTTTGCACATTACATGGTGTTTAACTCAAGTTGCACACTTGCGTGGTGTGCAAATTTTAGACGTTTTGTAAACGTTTAAATTCTGCACACTTGGACACACACAGTTCTATGCTGTCAATAGGGAAACATATGGTGTGCAGCTGCTAAACGTTTCGGAAGTGTCGAAAGTTAAACACCAATTGACGTATAACATAGTTAGACACCACAAAGTGTCGAGAAAATGCACACTTGAACTTAGACGTCAATTGACGTGCAAAATTAAACACTTGTTTTCCCAGTGTATGATTAAAATACTTTTTGAAAAGTTGTCACTTTTTGAAAAGTTGTTATTTTTTGAAGAGTTCTGACTTTTTGAAAAGTTGTTTCTTTTAGAAAAGTTATAACGTTTTGAAAAGTGACTGTTGGGTCGTTGACTTACCGGGTACAGGTCGGCTGGGTGCAGCTTCATGGTGGCCTCCAGGCTGCCGGCGAGGGCGTCGGCCGCGTAGTACGAGGGGCTGGGGCCCCAGTCGGGCTCCACGGAGGGGATGGGGGAGAGGCGGCCGCAGCTCGACGCGTTGGACGAGGCGCGCGGCCTGAAGTCGGGGCTGAGCTGGAAGCTGGAGTGCAGGGGCGAGTCCGGGAACATGTCCAGGCCCTCGGACACGGACGAGCAGGGCGACGGGGACGCGTCCGTCGCGCCCAGGCAGTTCCGCATGGCGTCCACCTGGAACAGAAAGGAGGGCGGGCGTGAGCAACGCATGTGGCGCCCGCAGGTGTCGTGCCGTGATTGTATAGCCGCCCCGCCCCGCCCCGGCATATTGGCAGCCCCGCCCCCGCCCCGCCCCGCCCCGCCGCAGCGGATGAGACAGACAAGCTGGCCTGCTCAGGAATGCCAGCCCCTCATATGAGCCGCTGCGGCGCAGACCGCTCTACACTCATCGCACTCCAGCCGCGATATGAGATGCGGTCGACCCAACCCCCACCCCCTCCCCGGCCGAACACAACACATTCAGGTGAGACGCCAAACCGAACAGGCGGGCGAAATTGCGAGCGTCCCCGTGTGACACGAGGACGCGGACAATGGAAAGTGGCACGTTTTCGCCGAAACCGACCCGGAAAATACCTACAGCTGGCAACGAAGCAGGAAAGTAAGTCGGCTCGGCTTCAAGCTCCCGCGACCTTGCGAGTCACTAAAAGATGCTGGAACTGGAACGCCAGGACAGCTCGGCGCTTTTACATCGAACGGCACTAAGCATCATCTGTCAACTACCGGAGACAACTGAGGGGGAACTCCCGCGACCATGTGCACATGATCGAGTACAATCTTAGCAGATAAATTTCAGGTACTTTTCAGCAAATTTCTCGAATGCCTTAAGTAGTTAGAATGCAGTGGCTCTTTAAACCTTAAAAAAAGTACTAAGAATTTGATAAATCACGTATCTAAGACGTGAAATCCGGCGCATAATCATTCACTCTTTTGTGTACACATTTTGACTAAGTTGCGACCCCCGCGGCGATATCAGCGAACTTGAAGTTTTTATAGTGCAGCCAAACAGAGTGAGGTGAGTACCGTGTGTCTGGGCTAGAACACAGCAGTGTTGCGGGATTGCCTAACTCGCACTGGAAAGCAAAGTGTGTGGATGTAGCACACTTGTAGGTGTGTGAATACCATTTGCACACATAGAGGCATAGGAAGGGTGTGTGGATTTCAAAGTTTCAAAATTTGCACACCTTTTCTCCCTTCCGCGAGAAGGTGCAATTATTACTGGTGCGCCGCAGCCCGACCTGGGGTAGGTGGGCCGGCAGGCCTCTCCCCGGCCCCTTTAAGAAGGTTTTGACACTGCACGGGTGACACCCACAATTTAGCGCCGACCCTCCCCCACCCCACCCCGCAGCCGTTCGATAGTTTTGTAATTACGCTGGCAGCAGAGAAAGCTGATTGGCCGCCGTCGAGCCAGAATGACACCGACGGCGGCGGAAGGCTGCGCGCTCGGCGGGGCACGCATCCTGCTGCAACCGCCCGACAAACGCCGAGGCCCTCCCGGACGACTGAACTTCACTTCAACTTCAACGAGGGTTACAATGACTGCTTTGCAGCTATAGAAATTTTAAATCTTTTCTAGAAAAAAGACCGTCAAAATTTAAATAATTTCCAAAAAATTGGAAAAATATAAAACTTTTTAGTAAACAGTTAAGAGGTTTATAAAAGATATCTTGAGAAATTGCACAAAAATACTTTTCCGGCAAATTAAGGCCTGCCGCCCACACGGGAGGTCGCGTCGTGATCAAACCCTCGAGCGCTCGTCGTAGCGAGTGTCCCAAGTAAGCCGAACCAGGCAGAAGAAACATGCGCGGCAAAGTATAACACAACGGAACACAAAAAGCAGCCTTTAGCGTGTCGCCTATCGACTTGTGAAACAAGCTCTAAAGAGTTAGACTGGCTTTGTACATACCCCGTGTCCAAAGGTCTTCCAGCAATCATACGTAGGCAATGAACAAATCCAAGACAAACAAACCAGATTAGGCATTGGTGTCGGAGACACGAGACACAGAGAGGTGTGTCAAGTGTGGAGAGACGGGTGAAGAGGCAGAGAAGGCGAGGGAAAAGGTTTTAAAAGGTTTAAAGGTCAAAGACAAAGCATTGAGCACATAGAAAAGTTAGTGATGGTGCAAAGGTAAACCAATGGTATTGGTGGAGATATGTGTGAGAAGCGAGAGGTGGTGGTGGGTGTGTTGGGGGTGGTGAAGGTGGCGGTGGAGGTAGTGGGTGGAGGGTGTGGAGTTGCGGTTGTTGTGGTGGTGGTGGTGCTGGGTGAAGGTGGATGTTGTAGTGTGGTGGTATGGTGGTTGTGGCTGTGGATGCAACTCACCTTCTTCTTGACCCTCCCGCGCCTCTTCTCGAACTTGGAGGTCTCCATGGAGGTGGCGCGGCGGCGCGCCGACTTGCCCGGCTTGGCGTCCGGGTTGATCATCCACCAGGAGGACTTGCCCGTGCCCTCGTTCTGCACGCGCATGAACCGGTTGTGCAGCGACAGGTTGTGGCGGATGGAGTTCTGCAAACGACAAAAACAAAAAAACCATCAGCAATCAAGTTTTGAGGACCGTCGAAATGAAAAGGACGTTTCTCTCTTTCCCGCCTTTCCTGGAGGTGCGCCGAAAGGGGGAGGGGGGGAGACAGACAGACAGCGCGGAGTTGGGGCGCGCTCGCTTACAACGCCACACTTTGCTTGTTTGCTTTGCTTTTGCTTGTCCATGTCTAGTATGGAGAGCCATAATCGACGGTTGGATGGATGGATGTGCGGAAAAGAGAGGCGAGAGGGGGAAGGGGGGAAGGGGGGTCGTTAGACGTTTTCGACACTCACTACGTGAAGTGGCAGACTACGGGCTCGAGACTGGGGGATGGGTGACCACGATCGGGGTTGGCGTAGCGTCGCACCTTTTTCTAGAGGACGTCGGTTCAAATGGCTGACACAGTAAGCAAACTGTTGTTCACAAAACCTTTTAGTCGAAGGAAGGAACCACACTGCAGCACTCCGCAGTACGTATATGATGCAGTTACGCAGTGCGTATAGTGTTGGGGGGCGCGCTCGTTTGACCTTTCCGCCCGCGACTCGGCTCAGAAAGTGTACCCGTCACCGCCGCCCCCGCCGAACAGGGTCACATAGGTGCGCACCCCCCCCCCTCTCTTTCCAAACACAGTCCAGGGCCGCTATGCAATGCAATACGGACGTCAGCGCGGTGACGCCTCGACACGCCTCCACGGAATAATAAACAAACATGGGGTGTTCGCTTCACGACGGGCGCCGGGGCGCGTGCTACCTGTCCAAGCAGAGCAGGCGGAGGCATGCCCCGAAACACGAACCTCAGTGACCAAGACTGTCTCTACTAGACACAACCTGCTGCGACCTACATAATTTTGGCACATGTAATTTTTTTAAAATGTTTTGGTTAATGCGTCGGAATAATTCCGGCCTAAAAAAAATCGAATACATTAACATGGGCGAGAAGTGTGTCATAAATGGACTTCATGCATGTGTGTGAGAATAGAAAAGAATTTGGTTGAAAAATGTTGTACGAGGAAAATAAAAGAATTTGCAAACACTTTCGGTTCGTCCAACTCTTTTCTACTCCTGCACCCCCGATGGACGGTCCTTCCCTATACCCCCCCCCCCTCCCCCCACCACTCCGACGCCGACCCGCCCGGTTGTCGCCATGCCGCTCATCTAGACTAAGAGAAAGTCTTCGAAAAGCGCCGCGCCAAACTTTGCTCCCGTCCCTATACCCGGGGCTCGTCTCTCTCTCTCTCCTCCCTTAGCGGTCCCTCCCCGCCCTCCCCTCCCCCAGGAAGCCCACTATCGTTTTTATGGAGCCTCCAGTGGCTCGGCAACTTTAACTACGACGGCCAGGGCAGACCAGGGAGGGCCAGGGAGGACCAGGGCGGGCCAGAACGCCCTCCTCCCCTCCCCAGCCTCCGCCCCGCCGCACCCCGAACCCTCAACGACGCGTGGCTCCCACCAACTTTTATACAGCATGCACGGACGCCGCCGACGGACGCCTAACCTCCACCGGTCATCGTTAGCGATCCTGGGGAAAGGGAGGGGTGGGGGGGGCTAAAGGGAGGTGGCCGCCGGCGAGGAGGTCGTCAAGGGGAGGTAGATGGATGTGTCGGGGGGAGCGCCAGGAAGGCTCCCCGACGGGAGAGCGGTGCGCGCCGGAGAGGCCGCCCTGGCGCCCGCCAGGACGATTTCACGTGCACACGTCAAGACCAAAGGAAAGGGGCGAGGGGGAGGGGCATTTCGACAGGACTTGGAGATAGTAGTACGGGAATATTTCGGAGGAAAAGAAAGGGAGGGCAGGGGTCGCGGGGCCGCCACCGTCTCGCCGACGGCCAGCCCCGCACCGCGAGTAGATTTGCATCTCCGGCCCGCGGCACTACATCACCACCTTTACTGCCGACACCTCGTCCACCACCGTGATCAGGTCGGCGTCGGTGAGAGAGAGGGAGGGGGAGGGGGAGAGGGAGGGAGGGAGAGGGGGGAGAAGAGACCACCGCCAGGCGGAGAGGGTTACACCGCCCCAGCCCAGCCCCCGGCTGATACATCACTCCCATATTGGCGCCAGCGCCCTCTCTTTCCCCCCCCCCTCTCTCTCTCTCTCTCTCTCTCTCTCTCCTTCTCGCTCCCCCTCCCTCTCTCGCCGCCGCCCCAACTACTACGATGGTGAAGCCGAGAATAAAACATATAAAGGAAGATGACGAAAAGAAAAAGAGACGACGGTTCGGTTTAATCAAAGGAATGCGCCGAGCGACGGCGGCGCCCCTCCCCGACTCCCCCCCCCCCCTCCGTCGGCTTCGTCGCCGGCAAACTGCGAAGGAGGACGGTCAAGAGGGAGAGGGGAGGCGGGGAGTGAGGAGGAGGAGGAGGGCGGCGGGGCAGACGACCACACCACACCACACCACGGGCGCAGGGGCCTAACTCCATTCTCGCCTCATCTCGCGTCGTGACCGCGCGACGCCAGGAGGCGCGGAGTCAAGGAGCCAGCCGGCCAGCCAGCCAGCCAGCCAGCCAGCCAGCCAGCCAGCCAG